CGCGGGGCAGGGAACACTGCACAGACTTCTGACAACTTCTCATAGAGGGCATATACTCAGATTCTGTATCTAACTGGTTTCACGTCCATATTGGGGCTCCTTTTTTTTTTCTGCTTTTCGTTTCTGAAAGTAACGTCCGTGATGAACGTGGAGCTGTAAATGCCCTCACTGAGGGCATACTCTCCCACTGACCCCTGATTCTGTATCCAACTGCTTTCTCGTCCATAGCGTTGTGGTGGTTTTTTTTTTTTTTTAGTTAGTTTTTCTTTTTTACGTTGTTCTTTTGGGAGGAGTGAGAAAATAAAATACAACCGCACCCAGGCTCGGCAAAACTCGGTGCGCAGTGAAATTCAGGTTCGTTCAAATCAAGTGCGGGTGTACTTGTGGTTTAAGGGGCCACATCCATGAACTCCCCATATCACGAGGTGTTGAAGGACACAGCTGGGACAAGCACTGGGATGAGCAAGGAGGAAGGGTGAGGGAGTGAGACTGTGAGAGCATACAGTCGTTTTTTTTCGTCCTTTTTTTTTCTTTTTTTTTTTTACAGCCATGCTTTTTTTTTTGTGAAGTTGTGACTATAGCGAACATAACAACTCGCGCACATGATGCCGTGATAGAAGATGTTTTTTTTTTCTTTTTTTCTTTTTTTCTTTTTTTTCTTTTCTCTCTCTCTCTAGAGAGAGAGAGGTTCCATCTATCGGTGGGGAGCAAGATTGTAAGGTAAGACTGTTTCAATATTGGTGATCTGTGTAGGAAAGAGGTGGTTCTGGTGATGACAGTCGGAAACACGCACACACACGTGGGCTTTTCGATTTATTCTTTTCTTTCAAGGTCTTATGCAACAGCAATCCAAGGATGCATGCCCAAACGGAAGCTGTGTGTCAGACTCCGCAGTACTGAATGCCAACGATGAACATACACCCAGTGAAGCAGGTTGGTCAGTAGTTCCCCACCCCTCGTCCATGCTTGATCTTCCTGTCTTTTTCTTTCTATTCCCTGCTTTCGCCTTCTCTTCCATGCTCTTTCAAGTCAATCGATATAGGCTCTTCCCATCTGCTGATGATTTTACTTTGCCCCTCCCTATCCTTCTTCTTTTTTTCTTTTTCCCTTTTGGTCACAGCTGAGCAGGCTACGTATTCTTGTACGGAGCATAAGTCCGGTTCCTTTCCTGCCACCAGTCACCAATATAATGGCCAAAGCCGCCGAACTTTTTTTTTTTTTTTTTTTTTTTGCCAAACTAACCTGTGAAGAGTCTGCATAGCATTTATGACTCTATGTATAGGAGGATTGCCTGCCTCTGAAGAGTCCGAATAGCATTTAAGACTCCTTGTATAGGAGGATTGCCTGCCTCTGAAACGTCTGAATAGCATTTATGAGTCCTTGTATAGGAGGATTGACTTACTCAGGCAAGCAGCATTCCTTCTTAGGATACCTGTCAGCCCACTGATACACGGTTCCCCTGACCGCCACGAAAAGCTGGTACGTTGTGAACCTGGAGTGGAAGCCCGTTGATGAGGTCGGCGCCTTGGCATTCCTCAGGCTGGCTAGCCATCTCAAGCGCTTCTGGGTAGGGATCTGGTGCCTTGGTGTCGTTGCTTCTATCTAGGTCAGGTGCTCCACTGCAAGCACACAGGGGATGAAACCTGCCTGGTCTATGTGGGGACATTTTATCTCTAAATAAGGCTCAAGATTCCAAAGGTGGAGACTACAGTGGACTGTGATGTTAAACCGCTACTAGTAAACGGGCCCAGCCTTGGAGAAAAGAAACTCGTCGGCTATTCGAAAATTTCGGGGTCGCGCCACTGTTGATGAATTTCATCAACGGCCTTTGTCGCTTTTCCAGCCTCCGGAAGGTCGTGGTGAGGGGGTCGCGGCCGATGTATGGCCGTGTACTGGTAGTTTTTTTTTTTGGTTTTTGGTAGTTTAATACTTCCTATTCGAAATCCCTTCCGAAGACTCTGAACTTGGTTTCTCTCGCCGTTTGTCACAATGAGTGACTTCGTGTATCTACGTGTGCGCGATGCATGCGACGGTATTTTATGTTTGCACCTTGTCCCTTTTGCTAGTATTCGTACGGGAGAGCAAGGCGGGAAATTGGTCTGTAATTTTTTTATGTCTCTCGGTTTCCCTTTCTTGCACATGAGGGTTACGTCGCTTGGTAGTGCTTAGAAACTGTCCCAATTCCTCCTCCTCCCAAGCGTCCTCGTAGAAATGAAGAGAGCACCACCAGGGAGCCCGAAGCTCTACGGTCAAACCCCTTTGACCCCTTTGACCCCTTTGACCCCTTTGACCCCTTTTGACCCCTTTGATGTCATTTGCTTTGTCAAAGGGGTTTGACAAGGAACGCATAGGCTCCCATATCTGAACCCCCAAAGGGCCCAAACTGTAGGTCTTCTTTGGTTGTCGGTTCGTCTGACTCGGTGGTATGTTCAGGTGAGGTGATTTGTTGCTCTTTGGTATTGCAGCAGAGCAGCCTATGCCTTCCTTGCCAGGGATGACATGGGAGTAAAGATCGAGGTTTCGGTTCACAATTAGTACCTTTACGCTTTCAACGAACCAAGCTTGCTTGTCAGCCTCATTTTGGGCATTGCCCTGAAATCCCTCCTCCCATTTGAAGTCTGTACAAGAACAATTCTCCCGTCGCCATTGTTTGCTTCTGAATGCATGACTGATCCAAAAGATGGACCCCTCTTATGTTTTACTTTGCGTGACCCCTTTTTTCCTTTCCTCCTCCAAGCGTCTTTTTCCCGTGGCGGATTTCCACTGCGTTTCCCAAAAAAGCGAATCACCACGGCCGTGTTTTTGTTCCTGTTTTTGCGAGCACTGCCAGTCATTTTGGTCCGGTAGCACTGCTCATCCGAAAATCCCGTGGTAGATGGATTCATTGCTGCTGGTGATTTACAAAAAACACATGAAATAAGAAACCTTGAAAAGCAAAAAAGCAAAAAAGCCTGGACTTCAGGGTCCTGGCTCCGCTCTCGCTCTCTCTCTCTCTCTCTCTCTCTCTCTCTCTCTCTCTCTCTCTCTCTCTCTCTCTCTGATTTTATGCGCGATAAAATAGTAAAATGCACTTCTGTGGCGGCAGTTTTCTCTACTGTAGGCAGGAGCAATACAGTCCTCTGTGGGGCCCTCCCTTCTCGTTTTGATTTGTGGTGGCAGCTCCTCCTATTCTGGAGGGTGCCCCAGTCTTGCACCAGTGAGTCGTTGTATTTACATTTTTAGAAAAAGCCGCATCCACACAGATATGCCACTCTCTGCTCTAGGCAGGAGCAATACCGTCCTCTGTGGGGCCCTCCCTTTTCGTTTGGATTTGTGGTGGCAGCTCCTCCTATTCTGGAGTGTGCCCCAGTTTTGCACCAGTGAGTTATTGTAATCACACATTTAGACAAGGCCGCGCATCACCGCACAGATATGCCACGCTCTGCTGTAGGCAGGAGCAATACGGTCCCCTCCGTGGGGCTTGGGGCTTGCCCTTTCCGTTTCGATTTTGCTGGCTCTTGACTTGGCGGTTTCTCTCTTGTGA